TCTGCTATGTTCTTGCGTGCTCTGTCTGTGTGTTTGTTTAGAGGAAATGGGGATCATGCTGTCTGCACTACTATCGTGCTGAGCAGCGTATTAGGCAATAACAATTAATAATATGCTTGACTCATTTGCTTTCTATTTCTACTTTTGTGGTTTTTTATCCGACAGCTTGACTGTTTTCCTTTGTCTGCTTGAATTATTATTTAATCTTGAATAGTTGCTTTTAATGACTTGTTTTCCTTTCACTTTCATAGAACTCTTCCCCGTTTTCGGTGTGAATGATCTTTGAATATAAAAAGAAGACTTGCAACTTGCTCAGTTATGAATGAGTCCAGTTTCAAATATTAAGACTAACACCAATAACGGAACTATTTTAACACGTTGAGGACAGCGCTGCTTTTAGTAGGCAGTTTCACCTTTGTGTGTGACCCACCAATGGGTCGCGCCGTCCTCAATGTGTTAAATAATTAATTTGTAGTGCGGTCGCCTAGGGAACGTATGTGTATGCCATTTATTTAAATATTGGAAACACTCACGTAAAGTGCAATGAAACTGTGATTGTCGACCCTAAGCGTGAATGTTTCATTACCATATTTGCGTTTATTTTCCATCTTTCTCGCAAATTCAAATTTAACGCCCAACTTTTATTGAAAACAATCTGTGTGTGTGTGTGTGTGTGTGTGTTCTCCCACAGACACATGCCAACATTTGAGCGTGAATATTTCGCGATTCATTTTGTTTTTTGCTTTCATTTTCAATTTCTTTTTCTTTTATTTCCGCAGTCGTCGCTCCAAGCGATCGTTTTATCGCTAGCTGGTTAACATTTTTGATGATTTTTATCGCTCTCTTTGGCACTCGGTAGTAGTTATGATGTCATCGCGAGCTCAGCATTGAAAATATATGATTTTGCATGAACACAATCAATTCAGTTAGTTGAATGGTTTTTTGTGTTTCTGTAAAGTGTACTTTTCCTGTTTATTTCACATTTTTAATTTTGAGGTATTCTCTTGGACTCGTCTTTTCTCGTTTCGATGTTTTGGTTTCTTTGCACTTGCATCGTGGCGACAGTGACTGTTTTTCTCCATATTTTGACATTTATCGATGTTACAGTGTCCAGTCATAATGAGATCATCACAATAGCGATAGTTAGTTTCGGTAGCGAAGTTTTCGCCATTAGAAAATAAATTTTCTTTCAATTTAATAGAGTTCTTATTACATTTACTGTATATGAAAATTGGGGTAGAGCTCTCTTAGCTTTTTGAACTTGACACACTTACGTGCCGCAGACTTTTTTGTTTAATTGTTTTCGTTTTTAACTCTTCCTTCCACCTGCTAACAACCTAGCCAATCTTCTTAACATTCATTGTGCTTCACAGATGCATTGTTATGTAAAGCTTAATTTAAACGCGCAATTGATTGCCTTGAAAGCAAGTTTTATGCTGTCTGTTTTAAGTGCACACAAAGGCATAGATATATACTATATGTCTATAGTTAAGTTTGTTTGTACATTAAAACTTTTAAAACAATACATTATGCAATGACATTTGAAGTATTTCGTATACTTTAAGTACCTTTATGAGTAATCTTAAAGACAGCTTCTACGCCAATCGGCAAAGCAGCTTTTACTTTTTGTTTGTCTGAAACCGCCGTCATCTCCAACGTATGTAAATATGTATGTAGCGCAATATCTTATGTTCATTTAATTATTCGGTGTTTATTTTACGAACTTTTTTGGCTCGCCACTTTATTAGCGATGGAGGCGAATGCGTCATATCCGTTTCTATTTCAGATAAGTCAAAGCGCATATGCACATACATACATACATATGTATGTATATTTACATTATGCTAGGCAGCACATTAATACGATTTTTTTTAATTTTCGACTTTATTTCTTATTTGCTCCCACAAATCCAGGGAACATTTTTCTGCCAATGTGTTTTATCTTCATTTCTTTATTTTCTATTATTAAAACGGAAGCGCGTCTTTTGATATTTCGGTTAAAAGTGGTCTTATGTTCGAATTAATTTGTTGTTGAAGCTTCGCACCACATATTTTGCGCAAGCAAAAAGGCATTTTATAAAATGTAGTTTATTACTCATACCATTTTTCATTAAAGGAAACAGCTTCCTTTTCAATAAGGCAAGCAATTCGAGTTTTGTAGCGTTAAACTGTCGTTATAGCCATTTTCTCGCAAATACGCCCCGGGCGGTGCTTCTTTCATTTGTATACAAATGTATTGGATTATACTGTCATTTAACATCCGACCAATAATTAATTTTCTACAAAAAGCTTTAAATATGCCTTACAAAAATATATAATAGGCAATAATGTCAAAATCGCACACAACAACAGTCTTATTATAAAGCTCATTATTGTCACAGCTCGAAATAAAACTTGCGACAACGTGCAATAATGGCAAGTTTATCTGAAATGCCCTCAAAAAATGTGTACAAATGAAATCAAGTTCAAGGTGAAATTCGCTGCTTTGAAAATGTATGTTTCGACTCGTGCGAAGCGCTTAATGAAAATTATGAACGCTTGCTAGTGTGTGAGTTGTATATGCAAAGGCGAAACAGATGCACCGTGATGCAAAGCGGCAAAAAATTTTTGGGTAAAATTGAAAGAGTCAAAATCATTTCGCCATATTTTTCATCTGCACACATACATACATACCTATGTATGTGCACAAATACGAGTATGCCTTAAAATCGCTTATTGCTACTTACATACTTTTCATACATGTATGTGTGTATATACATTTGTTTATTTAAATTTGAACGGCATGGAGGAGTTATTTACCTTCGAGCACTGCATCCACTTACCTGTTGGCCAAGCTGAAAGTCTGTATGTATTATATAAATTCACACTCACCTGCATACATGTATACATAAGTATACACATATTTTTAATGAGATGTCTACTTTTTAATGGTTTGTTTGAAAGCTTTGCACCTTTTGCATATAATTTTCATGAAATTATTGCATTTTACAAGCAATTCACACCTATACTAACCACATACCTATATATGTACGTACATACATACGTAACGTAAGTTTGTACGCCGTCATGGTGGTTCGTCGTTGTTGAAAAACGTTTACAATAAAACAACAACTTAAACTTTTCTGTAGCTACGTTGGCAATTGCAATGATGCTATTTACCGATTTCACTGACGCAAATCTGCAAGAGTAAATAGTAGACAAACGACCAATAACAACAATAATAATAATAAATGGTCAACAACCATGTGGGGGAAAATTCGGTTTAACAACTTTGTGGTTTGACGATTATGTCAATGCAACGTCACCGCCGTACATGTACTTCCGACAACGCACATAATCGGTTTTTATTTATGCCATCATCATCATTCAAGCATGTAAAAGTGGCCAAGTAACAGCCAAATATATAAACTGGCTCGTAACCATTCAAGCGAGTTTAAATATTCAAGCAGCAAACACGTGCATTTCCATTTCCTCGACGTTGGTTACGTTAGCCCCTGCCCATATGATTATGAATAGTGGCTGCAGCATTATTGCCATTATCGTCATTGTCGTGTCGAGCATTACATTGCGGTCAACATCTTTAATTGTCAGCAATTTCTTAATAACACATAGTTACTTGGTTTAGGTGAAATCCACCAAACCAAACTGGCAAGGCTGGTCCAGCAGCTGTAATGGCGGCGCTGCGGCACTGTAAATGGCGCTAAACACAAATAAAAGCGAAACTTGTTTTGTTTAATACTTTTTGAGATTTCACTTGTCGCAGCCACGTTCGTCTACCTTACTCAGATGCTGCGATTTTCCACACTCGAGTTGTGTAGTAGAGGTCAAATGGATATTTACGATTTTTGAAGAACTTTCGAAAAATCAAAATTCTTAAAATGTTTGTAATTGTTAATTTTAGTCAAAATAAACATTTGTAGAGATTTTACCATTGTTCTTCGTACGAGGGATTCTTCATAAACTAGTTGATTTTCAAATTTCTCAAGCCCCTATCAAGAAAGTATCAGAATTTATAAATATCAGGTGTTGAGTGTTTGCCAAAAATTTAACACATTGATTTAAATTGTAAAATTCGACAAACACTACTGAGGTACTCAGGTCGACTGACATAAACAGTTGCTGTGAACATAATTAAGGACAGTTGTACCAACCTAGAAATAACATTTACGCGTCCACCATATAAGCGGGAGATGAGAGGGGGAAAATGAAGATTTCCCGATACTTTTTTAACATAATCATAATCGGGGAATATTTATCAAATTTAGTGCTTTGTATCAAGCAATTCCAATAGTACGAAATAGTCACTAAAACCTGAAAAAAATTATTATGAACGTAAAATTTAAGAAATGCAATAAATCGCCGAATTAAAGTGTCTAAAGCTTTATGTGATTTGAAAAATTTTAAAACATTTTAAAAATTATAAAATTTTGTAGTGGAATATCTAATTAAATCGGTATACTTTGCTAATATTTCATTTATTTAATCTCAACATTTAAATAACTATAAAAAGACGAGCTTTAAACAAGTCCTAAATTGTTCAATGATTTTTGTTCTATTACACATTTGACGTGAGCTTTACAGCTTTATTAAAACAATATTTATCAATGAATCACGCTCCTAGATGAAATCACATTTTATTTGTATTTCACTTAGATATATACATATATTCATTAGAAAAAGTCGTTTGAATAAAGTAAATAATAAGTAAGCGTTTCATTGCCACAACAAGTCAAACGCGGCGGGATCTTATGAACTCAGTGACTCATTGGAGAAAACGTGGAGAGAAATAACTGCATAAAAATACGAGTGTGTCAAAATTAATTACATTTCAATTATAATTTTTATAAGATAAACATACATATTTATATGATGTATAGAAGATTTTTCCTCACAACGTTCACTCGAAAGACAGGTTTCTCATTACAATACCCATTTATTTGCTATTTTTAAATAAATGTACGTATGTTTATTTAATTCCCTATTCCTTTTATTTAATTGCAGATTATTTCCGCACTGACAGTTGCCGCCTATACAAAGCTGAATTGATTTGTGCTGACCAGAGCGGAGGAGCCACATACCAAAATGTCGCGCAAATCGGTATGTATAAAGTGTATGTATATGTAGTTGCTTGAGTAAAAAGCCAACGCAAAAGAATATGCCCATTAATAAAACGAAGAATCACTAAATTTTCTTTAGGCTCAGGGCTGGTGTCGAGTCAATATGGAACGATATATATATAGGCTTAATATTATCAATGTGACTACTTTTCATGCGCAAATTTAGGGCCAAGGTAAAATTTATTGTACAAAAACTATCGCGTAACTAAGTTCGAGAATAGCCAGCAAATACATACATCTAAACTGCACTACCATATACATACATCTGTATGTATTTGTAGTCTTAATAAATTACGATTTCAAGTGCCCGCAGTGATTACAATTTTCGGTGTTATAATTAAAGGCGCTTAGAATTATGAAGAAACAACACTTCATATCAATAGCTAGTGAGGCAGATAAGTCGAAATCGAAAATAACGCAATACAACATTCTTCAAACTAAATTACAATTAATCAATGTGAATTATTCAAATGGTAAACTTAGAAATTTTAAAGAGAAGCTTGTTTTAAAAATATTTCACCACAACAGTGCTTTACTCAAGTATAGTTTTAAACACGAAAAGAATCTATTTTATTCATTTCCGTAACAAATTTAAAAACCCACAACAAAATAAAATAAAACAAAGCAGAAAATAAAAAATAATATTTCTGATTTAACTTTCTCATACGAATTACAAATATACAGTACAATGAGCGATTTATGCAGCAACGACTGACAGTCGCTTACCAAATTATTAAGTGTGACGTGTAGCCCCACACTCTAGACCTCAGCGCCAGTTGTACTCGTACAACACCGGCAGCACTCATGCGGTGGGTGGACGTGGGTGATTTGATGTGGGACATGAGTGTGCGGCTTAAATTAGAAATAAGTCGACTTTTAATGACACATTGCTTCTGTTGGGGAATTTTCGGTTTAAACAAAGCTTTTATGTACCGTAACAAACTGGGTTTGAAATTGTGGTGACTGTGTTATTGAATATAAATATGTAAATAATGCAAAGGAAGATCGAAGTTGACTATTGCCAGAATATTAATATAAATCACCTAAATTGTCAATTATCGAAAAAATTATAATCTCGATTTCTAAGCATTCTAAGCCTTGAAGGGGTCGGGAATAGCCTTGAGAGCCGAAATGCCTGCTGCTTGGATTCTCTGTCGTCTCAAAATGCTTGCCTTTCATGCAAGGAAAATAAAAGATTGTAGGGTGGCTGCGGAAGCGTTGGGTTAGGTAGCTATTCACATGAAAGACGGTGTAAGCCGGGGCGTTGTCGTGGTGCAACTTCCAATCGGCTGCGATGTCTTGTCGGACCCGTTTGACCCTTCGTTTGAGTCTCTTTCACGCAGAATTTGGCGCTGATGGTTTGTCCAGGAGGAAAAAATCCTTGGTGGACGATGCCTTTGATGTCAAACAAGACAATGAACATCGTTTTCACTTTGAAATTTGCTCATTATTTCCTGTTGCCACCAAAACACACCTCTTCTTGATAAACCAACATCTGGGTGAGCCTGCTTGATCATTTCAAACGTCTCTGTCGCACATTTACCGTGTTTCACACAGGATTTAATCGCGTACCTCTGCTTTAACGAACGCTGCATTTTCGGCTGGCATCACTCACAGAAACACGTCGCACGAAAAAGTTCGTCCTGATACTCCAGTGCTTGGACAACTGAGCAGCCGCTCGTTCGTTACGCGCACGCTCCGAAGTACAGTCGCGTCGGCAGAAAATCAGTCCCATTTTTTTTTCGGACAAACCCTGTAGTTTACTGTTCATAATATTCATATTTCATATTTCTAAATATAGGCACGTACATAGGTGCAAAGTTTTTTTTATATTTGGGGTACTCACAACCCGACGTAAAGCATCGTAAAATCGTAAAATTATAAATTTTTACACTTGTTTAAAGAAATTCTTGTTGGATTTCATACAAAAATGAGTTTACACATTTACAATTCTCAATGCTAGTTTTCGAATCGTTATAACTTATAATTTTATGAGGCTTGTGAAACCCCTAATTATATAATATGAATTCGAGATGTATCATGCCTCAACGTTTAAAGTTTTATATATTATCCAATAATAATATTTAAGCGAACGGACAGGTGCCACAAACTTCAGCTTTTCCCATTTCGCATAAAATGTCAATTTGTGTGAGGAACATTAGTGAGAAATATCAGAGCAACATTAGGGCGATCAACTTTACAAAACTGCCATTTCATAGGCCTACTTAGCGAACGTATTTTTTTTATTCTAAAGTCTATTTTAACGAAGAATGAACAAAATGTAATGAATTTGGAATTGTATGTGATCAAATAGTTGACATACTGTATACTAAAGCGGACGGAATGCTGCAGCAAACTTCAGCTTTTCATTTCGCATAAAGTGGCATTCAGTGGGTGGGACATTAGAGAGATATAACAGTTTATTTTGGTTTCCGTTTTCTGTTTGTTTTGATTTTCGGCATGAGTCAGCCTCTGTCAGTGGCCTACATATTCAGCGTTTCTAGCTTTCGGTTTTTGTATTTTTTGTCCGTAAATTGTTTTTAACAAAAATGAATGGGCTTGGTCTCCCGCCAACAAGCGTTACTCGGAGCACCTCATTGATCGGCATCAATACAGGTGTATGAGCAGCAATTTATGTTCATAGCCAACAACACGAGACATTTTCTGATGCGCAAAATCACTCGATAAAATAAATAAATAGCCACTGACTTAGCAAATGTTGCGTAGATTACTTCGCGATGTCGACTCTGAATGACCTAGTGAGCTAAAAAGATAGTACGAGCACACATTGCCGCTTATGTTATTACCTGTATGTGCGCTCGTACATCAATTTGCTCTACGGTAAATAAATATAACGCGTACACGTTGTTTATTTGCTTAACGGCACTTTGCCATCAATAAGTGGCTACCGAGTCGCTTTGCTCCATTTGCGTATTTCTGCATTACTTAATTCCTTCAGGCATTCACGCGCAACAACAAAACAAATTGAATTTCATTTCCATTTACATAGGTAAATGTTGATGATGTTCCATGCACTCAGGAGGGTTGGAATTTATAAGGTTGCTCCCCATTACTACCGTTACGATCCCAGCTTTATGCCGACCTTATTTACTTAACTCCCATTTTATGCGGCTGTGTGGCGTTCTCTTTGTTTCTAGCAAGTGCTAGATATGTTAGCTTCTTCAGTTACACGCAAACTGACGGACTCTTGTGCTGACGCACAGGGCGTAGCACTGCTTTCACGCTTAAAATGTATTTCCGTTTCGGCGCTACTAACCCTCCAGATTGTTGTTGTTGTTGTCACTTGTGTTTGTACCAAGAAGGTGTGGTGTGTTCAACGTGCCAATATGCCATTCGGCTCAAACATCGACAAGCGAGGGACAGATACTAGTGTCTAGTGATGGCCTAAATATCCCACCCTCCAAGAGTCGATGGCTTAAAGGCCAACTAGAAACTACTGGGGGTTGTTGGCGTTCTGAATTGATTTATAATGATGGAATTTGTTGGAAAGCATTTCAGTCTTGACAGAACCGCCTAAAAGAACGGTTTCTTCGCAATCGGCAAAAAAAAAATAAAAAAAAGTCTTCTGAAACAAAGCGCAACCAGGCGCTTAGAACAACGTTATAAGGAGTGCAATTAATAAAATAGAAAAAAGTTTGAAACGCGGTAGCAATTTATAAATTAAACAAATTAAAGCTTGGCCCAATGGTCGTGTCCGATAGCCGTGTTCGGCTGCCGCGCTACGTTGGCAGCTGGAAACAAAAAACGGTTAGTGAGAATTTAATATAAATATTATATCAAAACTAGCGGAACAATAATCGTCCGAAATACTGGAATTGATATGATTTTGTGTGAGAAAACTGCGAAACTTCAATAATTTTATTAATGTAGTGATAAAACACTACTGGCATTTAATTCAACTGATTTCTTGGAAGAACTCTAGCATATTATGAGATTATTACTTATTATTCTGGAAAAGTAAATAAAATGAAGTGATAGTATCAAGCAGTGATTCGAAACTTCTGCAGTCCATTGTTACGTTTATGAGAACCGTTAAACTCGGAATTTGCTTGAAAGAAGATAATGCAAATAATAATGTATAAATACACAGAATCAGGCAGAAGTCTTCCTCTTTTAATGCCACTTAAAATGGCGCTGCTTTTGATACTTTATATTACAATTGATTTGTGTTGCTATTATGTTCAGTCTACCGCCAATAATAATAATAATGACAATGTGTCGTTTACACCAAAAGTTTCTGTTGCCTCCAAACTGCTGGTGCTGAGAAGGAGCCTATCTGCTTTTTTTGATTAAATTAAAGCAGAGAAGAAGAGATTAAATTTTTGAAAATATTTTCCGTTAACTTTTTGAGACTTTTTTTTTGTATTTCTGCACATTTCGCTTTAAATTTTTATTTCAGAATTTTAAAAGCTTTTTCTAAAATAGTAAAAATATAGATTCCGAATTTTTCTTGTTCTTAAGTTTATATCACTTATTTCCTATTGGGTGGGCATCCGGAATTATTATATATTACCCGTTTATATATTTTCAATGTGTATATAATGTACATACATATGTACATTTCTATATGCTTGACTTTGTGCCGCACACGTTTTCTGTGCGTTTGGACTATGAATGCATTAACCCAGAAACATTAATTGGATTGAACATTCGCACGTTCGTTGCACGTCTAGCTGAAAAAGAGACGTGCGGAGACAAAAAAAATAATGCTGAAATGTTTGCGCTAATATTTCTGTCTTTATCTTTGACTAAACTGTGAACACATTTATTACAGAAGAGGAGATGTGGTAATTTAAAACAACCGTTTTCATCTAGTCAAGGATTGCGAACCCAGCCGAGATTGAGCATGCTTATGAAGATCCAATAAGATTCGTGTTAATATAGTGGGGAAATTAAAAAAATAGTATTTGAGTAACTTCTGTAAAAATGAAAGATTTTTGCAGTTTTGCTTTTCACTCTCAAGGTCTTCTATGCGTCATTTGCTTAGAACGACAACGTCCGTCCACTTAGACGCACTCGTGCGTTTTCTCCATCGCTATTTTAACCTGTTTGCCGTTTAGTTATGCAAGCTTTTTGCTATGCCCGCTATGCCCAACAAAGCTCCGCAAAGCAGTCATATAAGCACCGTAAAACCCCAACGAACTCGTCACATGCTACTAAGCCGGCCGTCGTTGCGATGTCGTTGCGGTAGCAGTGCGTGCATTCGATTTGCTATTTGAACTAGCTACATACCAGCAAATATGTTTATATACTAGATATACTATGTGTATGTCTGCTTATACCACATAAACTTAAGTGCATGCAAAATAAGCAAATCCAAGCCGTGAGCAAGCGGATACTATTGCTGACCGCTGTGCAATTACTAATGAACACTAAGCAGCACTGCCTCGTCCGTCCACCTCGCCCGCACTACCTGGCAGTTGTTCGCGTGCGCTTTTCACTTAATTTTGTATGCGTGTGGATGTGTTTGCACGCGCTCCATTTTTTTCCTATTTTTTGTGTACGAATGTGCAAATGCGTGCGGCTGTAGACAACAGCTGTTGTTTGAATGTGACATCACGTGTATGTAAGCGTGAACCTCATCCGTCGCCCGCGACTTTTCGTTACTTACGGGTAGTAATATGCCCAAATGGCACTCCTTTCACACTCACCCAACTCTCCAATGCAAAGTTGAAATGTTTTCATATTTATCTTCATCGCTACCGTCGAATTGCTTGTCGCTCCTCATTGACTCCGACTTGACGAACTCTTCGCAAGTGTCCCATACATGCACGAAGCCAATACATATATAATATTTCAACAACGAAAATCAATAGTCTCCGACAAACGAAAAAAAATGCAACAAATAAATTCAACAATAACCGTAATCGATCGATAGCCGAGTACTACATACATATTAACTATATTGTTGCATAATCGCAGTAACAATAGCAATTTGTCGCCAACCAACCGCCCTACACGCCCACCCCTGTGAGAATGCTATTCAAGCGTTTTAGAGTGTTTGCGAATTCCTTTCCGCCTAACTGCCAGTCATTGCCGGACATTGCTGGTTTTTATATTTTTTTTTTACAGTTCTTATGTAATTAAAGTGATTAGATTAAATATGTCATTTTGAGTTTTATGTTTTTAATATTTTCTAACGAAATTTTTGTACTTTGAATTTGTAGCTAAATGTACGCGTCACCACCATGGACGCCGAGCTGGAGTTTGCCATACAACACACGACCACCGGCAAGCAGCTCTTCGATCAGGTCGTCAAAACGATCGGCCTGCGCGAGGTCTGGTTCTTTGGCCTGCAGTACACCGATTCAAAGGGTGATTCCACATGGATCAAACTTTACAAAAAGGTAAGGTATTGGAAGGAAATGACTGCGGACATTTCATCTTCTTTTAGGCTTCAGTTTATTTTTCCTTTTTTCTTAATGCTGAACTACTTTACGTCGTTTTAGAATTTAATGTTACATTCCCTATCGGTGTGTAAAATAATAGAGGGAAAAAGAAAATGTGGTGATGATGAACTCACTCTTCAGAAAGTTTTCTGTTGAATATTACTTGTTTCCTCGAGTATAAAGTTTTCCAAAAGAATAAAAACTTCACAATAATTGATCTTAAAAGACAGATCGCAGTAAAGTTAAAAATTAACAACTACAGTTATTTTTGTTGTTGTGGAGAATTCTTGTCCGGGTGTAAATCTGAATCTGTTCAATCTAATGACTTCAAAAAGGTCCCGTTGTGGTTATGATCAAGCGAGCATGAAAGTTCTAAGGGTTCTTCTACAATAATAACAAATATGTATGTGTCAAAACATACAATTTCGTCGATATTTCATAACATTGCTTTTATTTAGTTATGACTGAACATTTAAGATTCATATGCACTGATACAGATGTTTTTATCTTGAGTTTATTTATTGAATCCCTCTTATATGAGAAAAGGTTCAAAAACGAAGGCATACATTTTTTCCCAAACTATTACTTTCATTCCATTCAAACTCGTAGAACACTAATTATGCAATTGCTAGGTAAAAAAATAAACTTGTTAAGTAAAATTCACCAATACACTCGCAGAGGAGGCAGAGGATGTATGGCCTCCGCCGTGCTATCAAAGAAAACGAACTTGTCACAAATACATGTCTGTCTTTTGCAAAACTACTATTTATAAAAATAACGAAAATTCGCGGTGATGACTTCGCTTATGAATCGGCTCTGTAAATACATACATACATAAAGTTGGCTAAATACTCGATGACACGAGCTACAGTTATTAAACACACATTTGTCGTTTTATCATTTATTACTAAATGTTTATATGAAAATTGTCGAATTTCTCAGAATAATTAACATTTCTATATACACACAATGGCTGCCGCACAGCCAGAGTCGCCAGCCATAAAAACCATAAAGTACTTGAAACGCGTCAAGAAATATGTGGATAAGAAAACAGCCGATGGCCATCAGAACAGCAATGATGTTAGCGACGAAGACGACGATGCCGATGATATGGTGAGCCTGTCGTATTGAACCACCGCGTTACTTCAACTTTAGAGCAATCCCATACCAATACAAATGTATAGCTTTTTTGGGATGTAGAAATCGAGCTAAACGAAAGTAATTTAATACATGACCCCAACGTGCTGTTTCCTTTGTGAAATGAGTTTTATTATTTTTAAATTCTTATCTTAGTCTCCAGTGTAGTGTAGTGCCTTAGTTTCGATGTATCCAATTTTTATTGTTTTTGTTTTGTGGTTCCTTTCACGCTCTATTTTATCAAATCGGAGGTGTACATTTATAATACGAATTATTTATTGATTTCCCACCTTTTTCTTACTAATGCATCCATATACCGCATCGTTTGTCAATAGACTGGATCAATGCCATTCTCCACTTGGGTAAATGTTTTACGAATTTGTTTAACTCTACTCATTTCGTTTTGTTTTGTTGATTGAATATGCTCTAACTGATATTTGCTTTGTTACCTTCTCTGCACAGGTTTTGAACCAAGACGTAAAGAAGGAGAATCCTCTGCAGTTCAGATTCCGCGCCAAATTCTACCCGGAAGACGTCGCCGAGGAGCTCATTCAGGACATTACGCTGCGCTTGTTCTATTTGCAAGTGAAGAATGCCATACTATCCGACGAAATCTACTGTCCCCCAGAAACGTCCGTGTTGCTCGCTTCGTATGCCGTTCAAGCGCGCCACGGCGACTACAACAAGAGCATGCACACAGCCGGCTTTTTGGCTAACGACCGCCTGTTGCCGCAACGTGTCATCGACCAACACAAAATGTCCAAGGACGAATGGGAGCAGTCAATTATGAACTGGTGGAAGGAGCATCGCGGCATGTTGCGCGAGGATGCCATGATGGAGTACTTGAAGATCGCACAGGATCTTGAGATGTATGGCGTGAACTACTTTGAAATCCGCAATAAAAAGGGTACCGACCTGTGGTTGGGCGTGGACGCGCTCGGTCTGAACATCTATGAGCAGGACGACAAGCTGACGCCGAAAATCGGGTTTCCTTGGTCGGAAATCCGTAACATTTCATTTTCGGATAAGAAGTTTATTATCAAGCCAATCGATAAAAAAGCGCCCGATTTTGTCTTCTTTGCGCCGCGTGTACGCATCAACAAACGAATCCTGGCCTTGTGCATGGGCAACCACGAGTTGTACATGAGACGTCGCAAGCCCGACACAATTGATGTGCAGCAGATGAAGGCGCAAGCACGCGAGGAAAAGAATGCCAAGCAGCAAGAACGGTAAGTTTATATAAAGTCTAAAGAATGATTATTGTTCAGCTACTGATTGGGTGCTATATGATTTCAGTGAGAAACTGCAGTTAGCACTAGCGGCTCGCGAACGTGCTGAGAAGAAGCAGCAAGAGTATGAGGATCGCTTGAAGCAGATGCAAGAGGAAATGGAGCGCTCTCAGAAAGACCTGCTGGAAGCGCAGGAGATGATTCGCCGTCTCGAGGAACAATTGCGTCAACTGCAGGCAGCCAAGGACGAGTTGGAGCTGCGCCAGAAAGAACTGCAAGCTATGTTGCAACGTCTTGAGGAGGCAAAGAATATGGAAGCAGCTGAGAAAGCCAAGCTGGAGGAGGAGATCATGACCAAACAAATGGAAGTACAACGCATTCAGGACGAGGTGAACGCCAAGGACGAAGAGACTAAACGTCTGCAAGACGAAGTGGAGGAAGCTAGACGCAAGCAGGTAAGAAAACTAGAAACAAATTTACTTATTGCTTTCGTACACAAAACTAACTATATTTTGCGTTTGCAGGCGGAAGCTGCTGCAGCGCTTTTGGCCGCGTCAACCACACCTCAACATCATCATGTAGCCGAAGATGAAAATGAGAATGAAGAGGAACTGACGAATGGTGACGGTGGTGGTGATGTGTCACGCGATCTGGATACGGATGAACATATCAAGGATCCCATCGAGGACAGACGCACACTGGCCGAGCGCAACGAGCGCCTGCATGATCAATTGAAGGTGAGTTTACGGCTTAAATGTGACTGCGAGATGTTAGAATGTTACTAAGAATAAATTTTAATTGAACATTTTAAGGCTCTGAAACAAGACTTGGCACAATCACGCGACGAAACGAAAGAAACGCAAAACGACAAGATCCATCGGGAGAACGTGCGTCAAGGTCGCGACAAGTACAAGACATTGCGCGAAATTCGTAAGGGCAACACAAAGCGTCGCGTGGATCAATTTGAAAATATGTAAATTGGAGAGTGGCAGCTTGGTGCGCACTGGCCGAGGATGACTGGTATTACTATGACGCCAGTCCTTTGTATAGAACAACAAGATCAACAGCAGCGGCTATTTCAACAATAAAACAACAACATTTACCAGCAAACAATCAACCAACTAACAAAAAACACACCTCCGCTCGATCGGCGAACTTCAAGTCGATCGTTATTTAAATGCAAGAATTACTATTTACGAATTAAGAATTGAAATTTGATACACTTTTGATAAGATAAAGTCTTCGATGTCGCAAAGTAGATAAAACCCTAAAGAAAAACATAAAAGAAAAATCATAAACGCTTACAAATCAAATTCGTAGAAACAATCAAATGCATTTTCTTTTCTTTTTGAATATAAAGTAAATCTAATGACAAATGACAAACGTAAGAAAGAGAAGATTGCTGTTCCTCTCCTAAAAGTCAACGATTTCGTTGTAAAATCGTTTATATTTTTGTTTTTGCCTTTTATTAATTTTTTAATCTAATTTGAGAAATATTCCTTTGCTTTTGGCATTTATTTAAAATCGTTTAAGTATTTATACTAAAACTGAAAGTTTGCGAGTATTTTTTTGAAATCACACTGAAAATATTTTTCCCGAGCGATACTAAAATGTCAATTGTTCTTTCTCCCTTTTAGTTTTAGTTACAGTCGCCAAAATGAAAAACGTAAAACCAGGCATTTTCTTGAATCGTTCCGTCTTAATTATTTTATTATTGAGTACCAACTTTATATATACACACAGATTTATAGTATATAAAATGTATTTTTTTTTTTGTTTTTTTGAGAAAACTTTTAAATGATAAAATAAAAAATAATTTAAGGCATAGTTGTTCTATATATATAATTATTACACATTATTATTAAATAACAGTACTATTAATTTGAAAGGATAAATATAAATGGAAGTTTAATCATTCAAGCAAGAGAAAAGAGCAACGCAACGGGAATCCATTTACATAAAAAATTGTTATTATTACTTGGCAAAATAATTATATTATACATAATATAATAAAATTAAAATAAACCATTGTATTATTAGTAAAAAAGATGGAAGAAACGTAAAGACGAAATAACTTAAAGTTTTGACTAAAGGGAAATGGGGTTTCGAAAAACTTCAATATATTTTTTTAAGTCGGGCGTCTGCTGCAGTTAGCCACATTACTTTTGCATTTGTTTCAAGAGAAATAAGTACTACCACCAAAAGAAAGAAATCATAGAATTCATTGAAAGTGTTGTTGGCGAAGTTGAAAACCATTAACATTTGTTATTGTGGAAGTATCGAGCATTATGCTAGGGACTTTCGCTACTGGAATTGGCTTGACGGGCAACGACACAACACAAACCGACTCAGAAAGCAACTTGTTAAAACAGACATATCGTTACCACTTGCTCCCAACCGACTATATGTTTTCGTGTTTTTTAATTTAAAGCATGTTTAATTCCACTAGGTTATAGCTAAGATTTTTTGAAGTTAAAGTATTACAACTATGGAGAAGACGAATATATTGCATTCTCAACCACTTGGTAGGCCAATAAATAAAAAATTAAAGTAATAAAAAAATTGCTGAAATACTAAAAAATAGTGATTGATTTAATAGATCAACAAAATGAATCTTATCAACAAGTCATTTGGTCCGTCGCGGAGAGTGAAGTTGATGTTTTGTATACATATAAATATGAAAATGCGATAAAATTAATATTCTTAAATGTAAACAAAAAAAATAAAATGATTTTAATGGAACAATAAAAAATCAAATGGATGATTTATAAATAAAACAATATTGATTTTGATATGAAAATCCTATACTCTGTTTTTTAACTTATGGTAATATTCGCTTCCGATCCTACAACATTAGTAATATACAGGTGTATCTTTAGCAGCTATTCAGTAATCAGCCCCATACCCTTAACCTATATGAATAATGTTTTGCACCGCCAATCTGTTTAATTTATCGTGGCATCCACCTACTTCTGTATAGCTTAAATACTCTCCATTTTAGAAAATGTTGTAAATCTTTTAATTTTCAACTGCCAATACCCGACATTTACTAATTCACTAGATTTTGAAAGCCTTTATGTAAATTACATAAAGTTTATTTTTTGCAATTTTAGAAATTCTGAATTTGTTTACGAAAATGCTACGCCTACGAGCTCCGTTACTTTCACACAAACGTTAAATCCAATTAAATTAGTTTAATTATCAGTGGCACGTTTGAACAATAATTTATAAGAGACAACTGTTTGGATTCGCTAAAAATAATCATCTATTTCGGATTACAAGTGCATGTTTGTACATACATATGTATGTAAGTACATCTAATGCGGTCTAATGATTTTTATTTCTCATGGAATATTTATATATTAGGCTAAAAGAAATAAAAACAGCGAAAGTGAATATAGCAAATAAAAAATTTATACTTTTATTGAATCACTTCTCTCTAAAATAAGCGACGACTATCTGCATGCATATGGATGTGTGTTTATCCGTATGTACAAAGTATATTGTCGAAAGTGCAAGTTTATTTAACAACACTTTTGCACGCACCCACACCTACAAATATTTAGAAGCTTATTTACATCGCAAAAAGTGATTTACATGCGCTTAGTAATAGAAGGAAAATGAAAAATATGCCGATCAATTTGAGCGATTTCCTAAAAATTCGCATGCATACATATACATTCACAACATCTACAATTATATTGAATGCGTTTTGCCCAGTAACACTCCTTTGTTTCCATGTGAATTAAACGAATTAATGCGTAATATATATATATGTATAAATATACTTATATCAGATCACAAACATTATAACTATTCGATAAGGCCACCCTTTGTACGGCGTTAAACAGGTAATAGATAAATGAAAAACTTCAAACTAACAGCTATCATTCAGTCTCGCCACTGAAGAAACCTCGACTAGTCTTCCACTTTTATCTCACCAGTCGGCTTGGGTCGTCCTACACTGGGATTCAATAAAACCTTAATGAGGTACTCCACCGAAGGTCGCTCGGCTGTTTGAAACACATGCAGGCCACGCTCCTCCATAGCCAAACGTGTGCTTGGCCCTATCGCCACCAGCTTCCATTTGTCCATATCTACATTGTGCGCCTTACAGTATTCATGCACGCAGTTAACGCCAGAGGGCGAAAAGAAGGCAAAGTACTCGATGTTTTCGGCCTTTAAAGCTCGTTCCATATTCTCGGCCAGCGCCGGATGACAAACAGTTTCGTACACTTCACAAGCGTCCACCTGAAAGCCGTTTTCCACTAATTTCGAGAGCAGCAAGTCGGTGCGTAAGTTGCCACAAGGCAGCAGGAGTGGCAAATTGCGCGAACCGTCGAACGTATCCACTATGAAATCCCCCAGATTGCGTGCATTGCCCGTTTGCTTGCCATGCGTGAATAGTTGTTGCAGTGACGACAGTGCCAAGTTGTGTGTGACCTCGCCAACTGCATAATTATGCAACAGTTTCCAACCGCCATGCAGCTCGGAAGACTGCAATGCCTCACAAACGGCTTCGACGCAGCGTGGACTAGTGAAAATGATGCCAGCGAAATTATCTGGCATTTGCAATTTGCCTCGCAACTGTTCCAGATTCTTGAAACCGAAACTGAGTGTTGGTACAAATATCGGATTGAACCCATTGGCATGCAATTCCTCCGCGTATCGGTCACTGCTCTCCGATTCGGATTTAAAGATAATCACTGTGCGCCTTCCACTCATTTCTTTAATTCAATGTCAACGAAACTTGACTGACTGACTATCAAATGATTATTGCGGTAGAGAGTGTCAATGTTTTGAAACTTTTGATATCAGCAGGTGGCTGGGAGTGTGTGCCGCGTTCTCTCTGCATGCGCTTGTGAGCAGTGGGTGGGTGGTGGGCGAATTACGAATGCAGTGATAATATTTTAACCCAAACAATAACAGGGTTGCACCGATCCGTACATAAACGATTTTGTGCCAAAAGAAATTTTTATCTAAATTCTATTATTATTGTAGTTTATGTTTCTGATGTGTGCGTTGTTGAATGATAAAAAATCGTTTAATTTATGTCATGCTGTTTTATAAAGTTTTTCAAAATATAATTATATAACAAAATAGAGTCAATAATATGACCTTGACGAATTCTTAGCACTAATTTATATGTACATACACACATACATATTCATCTATGCATTTACTCAATCAGCCATCACAAAGCAACATTGCTCGTTCCGCATTTTCAAATTAAAACCGCATTTATATGAAAACTTGAAAGTAGCCTTTATTCCTTAAGACATTCTTTGAACATGTCAACTTGTAGAAACAATATACAATGTGTTTACATGGCAGTGCTTAGTTTACGATTATAACTAGAACTTCCAAAAATAAAATTACAATCCAAAACCACTAATGTAACCATTAATGTAGTCAGTATTATGTTAGTAATTCAAACACAACTTTGTTTTCAATCTGCTGCCTTTTAACGTTTTTGTATAAATACTAAAAAAAATATATGTACAAGCTATGAAAGAATAATGCTATATGCTATAGTAAAAGTTAAAATTATCTTGTTAACTAAACAATAAATTATACACCTCTCCTGAGTCCGCGTTAACTTATTATAAATATAAATTTAACTAAACTAAAAATTTCTTAGTTAATATAAATTAAATGGATATAGTTTAATGTGAGGTGATAAAAACAATTATGTGTAGGAATCATGGCAGAACTTGAAATTAAGAAATTAATTGGCTTTCTTTCCATTTTTTGAGCAGATCACCGCGTTTATATTTATTAGTGGGCAATGGCAGTTCATCATTAATTTTACGTAAATTAAATATGTCAAGTCCTCCTAGCCTTTTTCTTTGAGCGGGTGCAGACCAAAGGTCCCCCATGGATAGGGCTTGACTGGCGGCAGGTGATGTCAAACCACAATTAACTGTTAATGGAGTCACCAACTGCGGGTTAGTTAACAGCGAGGGGCGTGGGGAGAAAGCCGAACGACTGCCAGCGTCAATTGGCTGAAAACTCCTTGTGGTTTCTGAAGCTGTAGGATGCGCCGCATTGTCGTTACTTTCGTTGCTGAATGAGTTCTCACGTGACACATTTAATCGGTCGTTTTGAGACTCGAACCCCGATGATTGCGATGAAGCGCGCGATAAATTCTCTCCAATTGTGGTCATTGTTTGCCGTGGTTCTGGAAAATTTTTGTTAAGTTGGTTCAAACTTCCTGTTGATAGCCAGGACGTGGCAGGCGTTTGTGCAATACAAGTGGTGCTGAACCGAGATGGCGTGATTAAATTTGTCGAAGCAGGACGCTGATACACCGTGTTACTGGACAATGAAAATGGCGAGTGTAATCCACCCGAATTTCCAGAGAAGTTGCGCTGACTCATTGGTCCCCCGATGCGATGCTGACCGTAGAAACCGTTCTTCTGCGTTGTTAAATGGGCATTTGATTCTCCACTGAAGGATGCATTTAATATTGAAGCGTTTAAGGCAGTTCTTACGTTATTACCACTTTGATCAAACATCGGTGACCGCGCACGTTCCAGGTTATTTGTGTCCAGATTTATACCAAAAAATGGAGCGCGTGCGGTCAATGTGGCAGATGAGAGCGCCGAGTTGAAATCTCCAACGGTCGACGCTGCATAATGAGACCGAACTGAATGTGCACTGGGTTGCAAATCGAAGTACGAAGATTTGTATGTAGAGTTGGGAGAAACTTTTGCATTTGTCGCGTTGTGTAAAGAAAGAGTTGATGAAGTAACCGGCGATTTATATAGCTGACCTTTCTGCTGCGGCGATGGTCGTCCTCGTATCGAAGTTGAACGAACGGTACTTGCACTGCTGCAATTGAACTGTTGACTTAACATGCTAATTGTGTCGTCATCGCTTAAGTAATCCTCGGAATAGATCTTATGAAAGCTGGTGGTACTATTATCATGAAGTTTCGGAGAGACTTCAACTTCATTTGTCAGTGAAAGAACAAGGGTTACCGTTGACGCAATGAGCTAAAAGAAAATTAAATTTTTAACAAAAAATAGTATACATAAATAGTATACATAAATACCATTAGAATATTTGGCGGAAAATATAATTGCTCATCTATTAGTCCGCCTGCAAATGCGCTCCATAAGGTCAACAAAAATGTGAAACGTGTCAGTTTAAAACCATCAATTATTTTGTAGCCGAAAGATATTCCTAGCAGCAAAAAAGGATATGCAAGTACGTATAACGAAAAGAAACTAATGCGAGTGATTTGCGGCATCTTTAGCCCAAGCGAATACATAAGCATCATGAAAATTGTACGCGAAAATAGTTTACATTTCACCAACAATGGGTGCGCGCCAATTTGAGTCAGGTATGCGGTTAACACCCGACATAATGCCAACAAATGTGATACAGATAAAAACAGCTGCTCTCCGACTCGTTCTCCTAAAACTGGTGTGAGATGCTCGCGTGTCAATGTCGGCAACATGCAGAATAAACAAAATAAGTTCACTATTGTCAATAGAGTTATGTGAAGCGAAAGGCGGCGTTTCCACTGTTGACGCTGCACATGGCGGACTTGGCTGAAATGTGGTTGTTTCAGTGTTTCGGCACCTTTTATAATGAAATCAAGAAATTTGGATCCCAGAACCATTTTTTTCTTTTCATGAAGTACTTTTCCTAAATGACGTTCACATGTGCCACACAAGCGATATTGCTGCTCCAATTTTACTCTATAAGAAATAATGGAATTAAAGCAATTATGTGTATTCTTAAATATAGTACAATTGCCTCACTTGAAAGCCTTGAGTTCTTCGTCGAAACGTGATTCCCTCTTGGGTTCAAATTGTGCCAACTTCTCCACTTTTAAACGTTGCGCCTCATTGCACTCATTACAAAACCCATTTTTGGGAGCGCACAGCGCCGAGTCTGAAGAGTCATGTTCAAATGATTGATTAAGTCTCGCTATACCTGCGGAGGAATTACTGCGATCCATTTGTGAAAATATGTCACGGTTGTAGTCCCCATCTTTAGTGAATCCATTGTATTGCTCACAGTAAGGACACGTCCAGCTGTTCGAGTCTAAATAGGGGACGCGCGTATACTGATTGCAAAACCAGCAATTTACGCTCACATCAAATTTGGAGCTATAAATAATTTTTAATAATGCGTTTAATATGCGAAAATTTTGTTCAATGCTATAGAATAAATTAACAAATATTGGCAAAGACAAATATACATTTTGACCATAACAAAATTAAACCGGTTGAAGGAGGTTAGAAATTTGGTGTGCCCCAATTGAAAGCGATATTACCGAATTTTCACGTATAATTTGTGCAGCACTAAAAGTCCCACAAATGCAAACGACAGTATTGGAACCGTGCTCACCGCCAGCGGCAGCAGCAGTTGATTGTACATTTCGTCAATTAATAAACTTTTTACTTGTTCGCAAATATTTACATTAAACTTTTAACAAAATGCGCGCTGTGATCGCGGCGCGTTCCACAATGTTTGTCACTTTTATTTTTACATTTGCCATAATTAATTCCCTCACACATGTGGTGAATATTGGGAAAGACCGCCAAAACACATTGATCCCGAAGTGATTTGGCAGCACTGACGAATATCGAACCAGAAAACGTACATATATCAATTTATATTCTCTGTCGAACCGGAGATTTAAAGCTCTGGCAAATTATACTATGAATATCTCAAAACTATCTACCCTTTAATCCTATTATAATCTTTATCGAATCTTCATTCTAAATAGCAGAATCTGCATTTGAATGTTAGTAACAATTATGACAAAATGAATGAATGAAATATAAAATATAAATAATGAATGAGGGGTGGCAACATTTTAATGAATCAAAACAGCTGTCAAGGAGTTGACAATTCTCATATTTTGAATAGTTTGTTGAATTTGCCTCACACGTGTTTTTACGTTGGTGTATTGCTATTTTAAATCAATTTATGACATTATTTTGCATTAAAAACTAAAACACAATGCAGCACGACGATGTAAGACATACTGTTATAATTAAGTAATTGACATTAAATAACATTATTATTTCTTTCTATTTACAGGTAGTGTGGAGCATTATAAACAAATCATTTTGTTCACATAAAGTCAAGTGAGTTCTATATAAGTAAAATTTCTAAGAGTTCTTAATGTTTTAATTATATCATGCTTTTATAATAGAACCGATACGCGCACGTTCTGTCGACATGAATACAATTTAACCGGTCTGTGTACTCGCCGAACATGTCCTCTGGCCAATTCACAGTATGCCACAGTTCGCGAAGAAAAAGGTATAATTTATTTATACATAAAGACTGCGGAGAGAGCGCATATGCCAAACAAATTGTGGGAGCGAGTTAAACTATCACGCAACTTCGAAAAGGCACTGGAACAGATCAATGAAAATCTTGTGTTTTGGCCAAAATATATGATTGCGAAAAACAAACAACGGTTTTTGAAAATTACACAGTATCTTATACGTATGCGTAAACTTAAGCTACGAAGACAGAAACTGATAGTACCACTATCGCGTAAAATAGAGAGAAGGGAAGCACGCCGAGAGAAAAAGGCTTTGATAGCTGCGAAAATTGATAACCATATCGAAAAAGAATTGTTGGAACGTTTGAAAAGCGGCACGTACCAGGATATATACAATTTCCCACAAACTGCATTCAATAAAGCGTTGGAAGCGGAAGAAGTGGAAGATGAAGAGGCGAGCGACGAAGAAGAGCAAGAAATCGAAAAGGAAATGGAAGTTGACGAGGAGGTACGCCGTGAGTTACTGGATGAAGAATTCGTGGAAGCCGATTCGGATGAGGAAGACGATGATGATGACGATGCGGATAGTGATTCGGGCGAACGAGAAGAAATTGAAGTGGATAGCGATTTTACGGATTCAGTTAGTGATGGAGATGCTGACGATATTGAGGTGAGTGATGTACCTTCTGCATAAGCATATGCAACGCTGATAGTAAGCGTCTATGAACAAATAGATTGTTTTGTTACACTTTAAATACGTAATCGACTCAGCTTCTGCGGTTGCCATACGCATCAACCTTTCAGTTTATTAACTCTTTCATTTTAAGTATCATTCTCAATCAAACAGTTATCTTTAAAAATTAAGTAAAATTAATTTTTAATTTGACTTTGTAATTATATCTTAACACATAACACTATATCTCCTCTCCTCATCATCAATACTCTTAGCGTAAATCTGAAGTGGTTGCTCAGATTGTATTGCATTTTGATATATGATAAAACATTTCGTACCTTATTTCCGCGCATCGTGCTGTTGGCATTACATTTATAAACATTCAGAAAAAATAAATGCTTTAGTATGCCAAGCGCTTTCATTCTGATTAGCTCGTTGCGCGGTAATAATAAGTGTTGTTGGAAGACCGTAACAGTTATTGCGTGAGTGGCTGAAAAAAACAGTTGGATTTTCAAAAAATTTCTAACACCATATTTATAATGTCAAGCATAATAATATATTTGTGATCTTAGTTTATGTCGCGCATGTGCAACTCAGATACTCAGATATCAATAAGTAGTTAGAAACGGTTGAAACTTAGTTACAGCGTGATCAATTATAAGTTTAAAATAAACGCTTTGTGTAATAATTAAGTAGTTTGTAGTGTGTACTTAATGTGTGCCGTCAGTAGTAAATAGTATAGTGGTGTAAAAAGCAATAAAATGTTAGCGTACGACCTTGTCGCCGATCAAAGTTGAAAGTTCTAGCTTAATTAAAAAAAATTATTAAAATATTCACGAATCATATGATTATAAAATGTTGAACGAACTCAAAAATAATTAGTTTAGTGCTTGGTTGGTCATAACATTATAACTAATTTTGAATTACCGTTTAAATACAAATCTAATCAATTTTTTTTGCATGTAATACAGGATACACCAGCGCCCGGCGCCTTTGTACGTGCTCCAACGAAATCAAGTAAAAAAGCGCCCTTTGACACGGCAAGCAGCAGTAAAGCAGCGACACGACGAAACAAGAAACCTAAAGTGGAAATCGAATATGAAATGGAAAGTGAAACTGCTGCAGAGAGGCAAAGGCTACATAACTAAGGTATATGTATGTACGACGCTACGTCAACCTCCGAATCCTTTTGTCGGTTGCTCCGGTAAACTCTCGCTGTGCACGGAAAGTGGTTGCATTAACTATAGTAATGCATTTTTTAATTCAATTTAGTGGTATAGTTATGTATGAAATAAAAATATGGCAATTAAGTGCAAAATTGAATTTTCATATGTATTGGTATCGTATAAACAATCTGTGTTAGTGCATTGTACCGGTCAAAAACCAGTTCTTATTTGAACTGCCTTAATTGTGAATACGTATTTGTTAATTATTCAGAACGATATTCATTCTTAATCACAAAACAGTGTAAGTCATGAAAAAAAGCAAAACCAAACCAACACGCCGATTGATGCTGACCTCAACATTGTGATCGTCTCATTACATACATATGTATGGACAATAATATATTTGTAGTTTAATTGTTTTATCGGAAAGATAGCTATAGGTGTTGTGTATTAATATGTGTTCAAAGTGTTGTCTCCAAAAAAAGGTTTAAACGCCGCCGATATATTTGATATTGAAAGTGAAATAATATTCAAATTATAAGCTTTTTATCACAACTTTTGTTTCAATGTCAAACCAAAAGCTAACAATGCTATCGAAGAAAATGATAATGAAATGACTATATAGTTTTTGAATACTTTTCAAATTTTTACAACTAAAATCAGAAACAATCTTCTTTGATCCAAAATTCCATAAGTATCGCTCACATTGTAAAAGCTGCAGAGGGAAAAGCTTTCAAGATTTGTCATAAAAAACTTAAGAAAGCACTTACTTATGAGAATTTCTTCTATATATCTCTATATACAAACGTGACACATTGCAACCGAGTTTATTTTTCAATTAAAAAATCTTGTTGCCGCTAATTACACAAAGCCAAGCTTTACGCTAGCATTTCCCAAACAATACACGTAAATACGCTGAATGTGCACGTCGTCCATAAATACTTACAGTTAGACTATGTAGCCTATGCGCCTTATGAAATAAATTATAGTCTTTTGATTTTCTAACATTTATTGTTTAAAGTGTAAACGTCCATTCGCTTCCATTTACAAAAGTAACCGCATTTGCATTGGCAGTTTATTTTCTATGCGGAACTTGCATTCACTTCCAACACAAACTTCAAGAAATTCTTATTTCTACCTTCTTATCACTAATTTTAATTAAATTGTTAGTGGCCAAAATTAGAGTTTCAAATACTTCAAAGTTCAGTACGTTCAGTTTCTGAAACAGCTAATCCGTTGTTGCAGTAAGCTGCAGGATATTGAGAAAAGTAAATTATTTCTTTAAAAATGATTACATAAATATTTAATTCAATGTTGTAGCAAAAATACAAAAAGTGTTCTTGTCAATTGTGTTTACTGTAAGTTTTGAAGATGAAATTAAATGACTGGTTCTTTTCTACAGTGCTTTTCGAGTAGCGTTATCTGTTGCAATGACTTTAAAGCCTCGATTGATTGGTGAAGCTTTGGACAAACGTATTTTACGTGTTTACAATAGTTCAAATAAAAATAATTACATAACGTATTAATTTACGCGTAACTGCAATAGGCTTTATTATAAAACCTATTACCTTACATTCGTATTGCAATTATATGTTGCTAACAGCTCTCACGCATTCCGTTTACCAGATCAATTCGAATTGCCTGCCGCTTGCCGCAGTAGCACGTAAATCTTTTCCTTGATCCACTCCTTATTGTAGGGTGCATAAGTATTTGTCGACTTTTGATAGACGAGGCAACTGATATCCGCCAACTGATCAACAAAGTCAAATAATTGACTGATATCGTATGTAATTGTAGGTGTGTTGGGATTGCGCCTTTTCAGGTGTTCTTCGTAGATTTTGCACACACCCTCCATACACTCATTTACACTCTCGTAGTCACTGTAGGTGCGTGTTTCAGGGCGAGAAGCTGGCTGCACCAAAAGAATTGTATGAGACATGTTGGTTCTGCGGCAGTGTTATGTCAGTTTAGCAGGAAGAAGGCTCTAGAAGCGGTGTGCTTTTATCCAAATGTCCGCAACAATGCAATTCTCAACCGGCGCTGTGACCCTGGCACGATATTTTTTTGCTCAAAAATGTCTGGTTGCTGCACGTTTTTTTCACTATAATTTCAAATGTTGTGAGTTATATGCACAATAATAAAAAACAGTAAAAGGGTTTTACTCACGTTATATTCTTATTTAGGATACAAATTCCGTTTTTTAATATTTATTTCACTGCTATATAATATTCGCTAGCAAGAATTATTTTTCTGATGCTGTCAAACTTAGACGGCTTCCATAGAAATAAAACTATCCCTTTCTTACATACGAATACCGTTACAAAATACCAACCGACATATCAGCGAACTCTTTCTAGCTTACTACGTAGAAGGGAATCCACATGAAAATAGCGAGTAGCGAGTGAATGTATAGTGTTGTAGAAAAAAAAAACCGATTACGACAAAAGTAAGCGGTTGTTAAATGTGGTTCGGTTACACAGATCGTCGGTCTAAATAACTGACAGCAACTGGTTTTGCTCTGATGATCACATTTGTCAAATTATAATTATAACAATGAACAACTTCACAATTAAAATGTACACATCAAAATCTCAAGTGTTTGGGAACATATAAAAGTGTAAAAAATAAGAGTAAATTTCAGTATAGGTAATGCGAAAAAATACCCACTTTAAATTTTTTAATTATACATACAAATATCTGCGGAACCTCCTCTATCCGCCAGTACCCATTTTAACTCCGAATTTGTCGGAAAGTATTCTAAACCCCAGCCATATTTGTCTCTACGCAATTTCGTGTTGTTTAAATATTATTATAGGTCAATAAACTGTTAAATAATTTTCTTTGATATTTTTTACGGAAGAAATATTGAAAATTAGATCAAATGTTCTCACCACTGCTTACTAAATGATCCATCTCGCTCACTCACTAATATCTAAATAATAGAAGATCCAGCGATAATGAAACACAAGATAAGCTAACGAATGATCATTGAGGTGAGTTCCGTTCAGGCAATAGCCAACATACCATCAGCTGACTTTTGTTTGACTAAATTGTCGACGCTATGTTATTCAGAAAACATAAACATATATTTCGCTTGAATTAACCCAATACGAGGCAAAACGTAAAGGTATCGGAAAACATATGGGAAACACCATAGCCATGATTATTGTGCGCTGATTGCGAGAAAAATGTAACGAAATAATAGATCGCGAAATGTCGGTTTGTCGCTCTAAATAGCACAAATTTACATCAAAGTTTCAACAATAGCACATTTTACAATAGTGTAATGTTGTAATAATCGCGATTGAGTGTAATATTAATCTGTGAAAAGTGTATTGCGAAACGCGCTGAAAGTCATCAGTTGATGATTAGTTGCTCTGTGATAATATCGTTGAAAAATCTAATAAGAAGTGAAGGAAGCGTTGCGATACGCGAAAATATCAATTGATTTGAGAGCGTTCGTCTGTTCCCTGACCAACAAAGTGTTCGGTTTATGAAATACGCGTGTGCGAATGCTATTTTTGCGCTCGGAGCATTCTGGAGCTGCCTTAGCAGCTTTTATTTATAGTTGCCTCAATTGATCATATATCGATAACGAGCTAGACTATTTGTTTACATGCCTCCTTCCAGTTGGAAAAAAGTGGCTCTTTTCGTTTATTGCGAGAACGAGCGAGGCGATCGCTTTATTTAGCATTTGCGCATGTCCACATACATACATGTATACATTTCAGTGATTTTTGTTTATATTTTGATGACGTTGCGCTTGCAGTAGCGCTGGCATCGTCCATATTACACACCGTTCTGATTGGACTGCAATTATCAATACATTGCTGCGCTTGCTTTTGTTTACCAATCTACTACATACATGTGTTTTGTTTTTGTGTTATATCAGTGTTTGTTTGAGATCGGATTCATGCTATGAAAATTCAAGATTCAATGTTTTCAACGTCTAATACGAAAATAAAGGTAATAATGTCTATGCTTAAGTCATTACTTAAGAATGTCACAACGTACAGAGCGCATTGATTTATATATCATACATAGTATTTTTGAAGTTGTTAGTTGTACGTTTTGGCTAATTTTTGTATTCTTGTAGCTGCCCAGTGACTCCACTGCACCCACGTTGCGTTGCCTGCTAAATGGGCCACTGAATTTTACCAACGCTGAACATCGCATAATTTCGGTGCACGATGTTGTTTTCCTCGATGAGGTAGACCCGGACATAACCCCCCTCAATTATCGTCCAATACCAACGTCTCCAGAGGCAACATCACCTGAAACGGAGAATGGTTTTAATGGCACTAATGGATTGGACATCATCGGCAACGGGTAAGTGCCACATTATGTATTCATAAGTTATTTTCCTAATATAGTTTTATGCAGCGATCACTAAAAAGCGGGTGGCGCATTAAAATTTCTTTGGTTTGCTGCCAGAGAAGGCATATTTTTGAGCATTATCAAAGCACATTTTTCATACCAATTTTAGTTGAGATTCAGAGCAATGTTTCAATTCGTGAGCAGTGAGCTCGCATGAATTAAAATGTGAGTTAAATGTAAGCGTTTGATAGCTGACAATTAAATATCGTTCATATGTTCATATGTATGTATGATATTTTTACTATACATACATATGTATGTACATCTGTTTTATAGTAGTACACATTTGACGTCAGAGATGTCAACCACACGTGCTGCTCACCGTTCCGACCGGCATAGCAATGAACCTTGCGTCGGTGATTTACCTCCCATGTAGCCAGCCAGCAAAGCAATGTGCGTTGTGCGCTCAAAGGCTTACGAAAATCACAAACGCAACAAGCAAATTCGCACATACGAGTGCATGCAAACATACACACACATGTCCTATATATATGTACATAATAAATTCGAGTTCGAGTTCGTGATTTGTTTATCAAAATTGCCACCGCTTACCACATTCCCACCGAATGAATCCACCGAATTCCGGCGACATTGAAGCGAGAGTGCTGAGTGGTGGAGCAATGCCGGAGCCGGTGTTTGCATTAAAAATTGCTTGCTTGAAAGCATTCAAGGTCAATCGCTGGTAGCGGGTTGCTTGCTCGATCAATAGCGCAAAAGTGGATGTGAATCAGCTAATCACTTGTCACTACACGAAAATCAACTCGGCAATTTTGCAGAATT